TTCCAGCTAGGGGAAATACTGTGGAGATAATGTGGAGACACTGAGGAGCTGATTAAGAGGAGACAAACAAAAGAGGACACCCCACATATTATATGAGCATTGAGGATACACATGATACCATCAAAAAAGCACATATGGCTACTGGCCATGATCATGCCATGAAACATGTCGTCTAAGCATGCAAACATCATCAGAGATGCTGTGGAGCACTTCAAATCCTTCTGTGTAGAGTGCCAAGAAGAAAAGAAGGCACCATGTGGAAGAGTTTGCTGGCTGGTCTGTTCTGAACAAAGAGCACTGAGCACAGGCACAAATGGACTTTATCAATATGCAGCTCATATCTAGGCAGCTTTAAATGGATAATGATGTGCCAGGACTGCATCAAAGCTGACTTCTGTTTTCACCAGCAGGATGAGGGAGCATGGACAGACCATGCTGGCCAGGTAGAACATTGTGGGTTGACATCTGAGACAACAAAGCATGGCCAAGTCAAGATCCAACTGAATCAAAGAATGTCTGGGCTGGAAGGGACCTCCAAAGGTCATCTAGTCCAACCTCCCTGCCATAGCAGGGTCATCTCAAACTAGATCAAGCTACTCAGAGCTTCATCTAGTCTGATGTTGAATGTCTCCAGGGATGGGGCCTCCACCACCTGTTTGGGCAACCTATTCCAGTTCCACCTATTCTTTGGTGGAAAATGCAACAACCTCATCTTAAGAGCACTAAATTCCCCCTGCCAATGATTCCTGATCCATGAGAATACATAATCAAGAGCTTAATTATGTCCCCCTGCCATAGTGGAGGAATTAGAAACTGATCTACTCTGGGTTTGTATTGACTTTATTCTCAATGCCTTTTACTGCACGAATTTAATTTCATTAGGGAGCAGAGTTAATTAGCAGAGCTGTTTCTCATTACTAATGTAACCCATAGATATGCACAGTCTCATTAGCTCTGCTGTTATCTCCTCTGCCTGCAATCTTGCAACAAATAAAGAGGCAATTTACTGTAGCACTGCTCTGATATTCAAGGATATGCTCCTTTCAGGGCTGCTGAGTTGATGTTGTGTGTTTTCATGCATTTTACTTTGTCTCAACAACACTCAGCCTGGAAACTCAATCACAGATAAAATTATGAAAAATAATCACACACCTAAGTGGAGTTTTCATTCTGTCCACCGAGCCAAATTAGAAGAACAGATGAAAAAAACATGACAAGTGAAATCAAACAGCAGATAGTACACAGGGAAGCAAGCACAGCCAAGCTGTGAGACAAAAATGAATCTGCAAGGCAAATTTTGCTGTTCCTTGGCTAAGTATTGGTCACATTTAACTACACCAGGGACAGAAAAAAGGTGGTGGTAGAAACATATGGAAAAGTACAACGTGTGAAATCCATCACCATAACAACACCCTCACAAAAGCGTGTAGGAGTGTGGAATCATTGCTGGGACTGGTGAACTGAAAATGAAAAAAAATAGTAGTTAGGTTGGACCCAAATCATTTCACATATCCTAATGTCAAGGGGGATTTTTGCTCTCAAAGGAAAACCCTGAGCTGGGACGATAATAGGAAGGACAAAATTCTGTCCTGGAGGTCAGAATGGGTGTGGGAGCAAATGGAAGTTCAGATTTGTGGAGCAACTGGTGATTTAAATTTGTGTGACTAAATGTCCCACATTAATCATCGCTGCAACTTAGTTACTATATTTAGTAACCAGATTTAGGAACCTGAACCTTCACAAAGCTCTGAATGCAGAGTAAAGGTGTGGAAGGAAGGTTCTCCTCCGTGGGGTTAAGATTAATTAAAAGCACTAAATCATAAGATAAAAAAATAGATTGTAAGAGATCTCTCAGGGTCATCTCGTCCTATCTCCTGCTCAAAGCATGATTAATTTAGTTTTGTCCATTTAGTTTTGGCCACAAAGCTCTGTCCTGTTTCACAGCTCATGGTGAGGAAGTTGAAGGGTTCTCCTGATGAT